CTCAGATTTATCTGCCACCAAATAGCTTGTTCCCTTTGGTCTCCTCTCAGTTTTTTTTTGGTAAATGCCCATGTTATTTAAGTCTGCTACTTTGTTATTATGAAAATAAATGCTGGTGGTTGAGTTGGAAGCAAAAATGTTGTTTCATTCAACACTATAAAGATCAGCATTTAAATTCATCTGCTAGGAATTTCCAGAAGGTATTGAGCACACAGCTCACCATGGAGGGGCGAGGGGGCATATACCTCAGAGGCAGACCCTGGGCTACATGTGAATTCTGCCTTTAATTTTTGGAGAAACTTAAAACTCTTTTCAAAGTACAGCACTATTTCATACTCCTACCAGCAGTGTATGAGGGTCCTAGTCTCTCCCTAGCCTCACTAGTACTTTCATTGTTGCCCTTTTAATTTGGCCACCCTGGTGAGCTGTAGTCTCTCCTCATGGTTTTGAAACCTGTGACTAATGATGGAACAGCTGACTGACTGGCCATTGTCTGTCTTCTCTGCAGAAAGAAGAGGTATTTGCAAGACCAGATAGAGATAGGAGGTTGGGACTGCTGAGATTTGGAACATGTGGAAGGTTGAGGCTTTCTGTAAGATGTTTTAGAGGACTCCTCCCCCTTACATTTTAAAAGGGCAGGTTTATTAGGAAAAGCAGAAAGAAACGAGAGGCACCTGGTTGTCCCAGGCGGGCAGAGCAGCCTGGAACAGTTGGCTTAGAATGTGACATATCGTTTGGGAAAGTCTTGGTTTTATTTTAGTACCATGAAAAACAAATTTCCAAGCATATTTGGTCATTCTGTGGAATTTGTTATAATAATACAACATTACATTTTTATAGCTGTTCTATTTTTAGTTCATTCTTGTGATATCATCTAGTTATGTAGTTTACATAACCTTCACAACACAACTCAGGGATAAAATAGATGGGTGGACACATTATTATTACCACTTTTAAAAGGTAGAAGCTCTGACTTCTGTAATGAATTATTAGTCATGTAAGGGTGGCGGGTTTGAAGAAGGAGGATGAACCTACATTGCTTAAAACCAATATTATTTCCATCTCTGAATAGATATTTGAGCATCACCAAGTCCCCACAGACTGCTACTGACCTTAGAATTCATTATTTGTGGAGCTATAAAGCAGGAGGTTATAAATTTCCATTCAGGGAAATTTATGTGCCTGAAACTAGGAACATAAAAAGAACAGAACTGCATAGCAGTGTGTGTTCACTGCTTCTCGGGACGCAGAAGGCTGTCCCTCGGAAGGCGGAACAGAGCGGGGGCAGGCTTGTAGTGTGAGAAGAAAGGCTCAGCCCTTTGAGCTGCCCGGCCCCCCCAGGCTTCCTCCCCGCCTGCTTCCTACTGCCCTCCTTGGGAAACAGGAATTTAAGCGCAGGGTGAGTATAGAGAAAGGGAGCTATGCTGAGACTAATACAGACTGAGCTTGAGGCTTAAGTTATCTGAGAGGTATCGCATTAAAAGTTGAACATTACTGATAGAGGGTGGTAAAGCTGAATGACTTTTTTTTTATAATATAATAGTTTATTTTTACATCATTTTGTACATTTTTTTTTCCATCTCAGTTGTAATCCCTGCGCGTTTCCCATCACCGAGTCACCCGTGTGCCATCACCATAGTCCCGTGCATTTCCCTCCCCACCCCCCCGTTTTTGATCCCATTCCCCACACCACCCCCACAAAATGTCTCTGGTATATGGCTGTTCATTATTCTTATTATTTTCTCGCCTGGTCCATTAAACTGCTTTGAGCGAAACCATCCGCTATTTTTCTTTCTCTTTCTGGCTTATCTCACTAAGCATGATCTTTTCCAGCTCCATCCAAGTTGCTGCAAAAGACATGTGTTTCTCTTTTTTGGTTGCTGAGTAATATTCCATTGTGCATATGTACCACGTCTTTTTTATCCAGTCATCTACTTTTGGGCACTTGGGCTGCTTCCATGTTTTTCCAATTGTAAATAAAGCAGCAATAAACATGGGGGTACAAGTATCTTTTTGAATCAGTGTTTTTGTGTCTTTTGGGTAGATACCTAGGAGTGGGATTGCTGGGTTGTAGGGAAGCTCCATGTTTAGCAGTTTGAGGAACCTCCAAACAGTTTTCCATAGTGGTTGTACTAGTTTGCATTCCCACCAGCAGTGCAGGAGAGTTCCTTTTTCTCCACATCTTCGCCAACATTTGTTATTGCTAGTTGTTTGAAAATGTGCCATTCTCACTGGGGTGAGGTGGTATCTCATTGTGGTTTTAATTTGCATCTCTCTTATTACGATGAGTGACTTTTTTTTTTTTAAGGTTTATTTTTTTATGCATACAGAGCCGGGGTACAGGCCAGAGGTACAGGGGTAGTGAGAGGATTCACCAGAGAGAGTGGGGAGCAGAACAGGCAGACTGACGAAGTACACTGCTGAGGATAGCAGCAGGCGGGTCAGGAGAGGTCTGCCACGCCATGTGGATCACCTCTGGGATGGGCGGGGATCGAACTCATGCAGAAGTGGCTTTAGCTTCTTAGTGCTGTGCTTTAACCCGCTGTGCCACCAGGGAGGGCCCACGATGAGTGACTTCTTTTTAATGCAGTATTGTCTTTTTAATGCAGTCTCGAGTAAGTCTTGAAGCAATACTTTTTGGTTTTTTAACATTTTTGTAAATTCCAGTGACTCAAGTATTGGAATACCAGCAGTCAGTTGTTCATACAGACTTGAATTTTGCCAACTGTGGAGCCGTTGGCCTGCTCATTTTTCGTTTTGACCTACAAAGGCGTTATCAAGCTTGCAAGTTAATCTTGTACACACTTAAGGCTTTAGAATTTAGAGGTGTTTTTATGAAGTGCTTATCTTTTCTAACTTAGAGGACAGCTGGGATGTCATCTAACAGTGGTGACAGTTACTCATTCTCGTGGCTGAACACAGAGATCAGAATTGTGGAAGGACTTGTAGGTAAATTATGACTTCATTTATCGTGGCTTGTGAGGTATTTTTGTCAAGAAACTTTGGAATGATTCACATGACTCTGTTGTAAGATTTCAGTAGCAGAAATACAGAACAAAAAGAAAACATGTCAGCGAAAAACACAATGGTAAATTGTCATCTGAGTGATTGGGTAAGCCTTGAAGATAGTTAATGTAACAGAGGCGAGGCACAGCAGTAAACTCCCAGCTTTACAACAAAGATAAAGTTTGTCTCTCTGGATATCTCGAAATGTCATTATTTCTCCTGCCCTTATTAGCTAAATTCTCTCCTTGCTTTTTCATTTTTCATGCAAAAGAAATTCAAGAGTTAGTTTCTATTTCTGTTCCCATAGATTTTATGATTAATGGAATTGTTTTTCTGGAGGTTGTTGTAGGTGTTTTGTTCATGTCACCTGCTTACTTTGCACATCAATCCTAAAAGTTTCCTCCTCTGGGGTTATTTTTCTTCCATGGTTTATGGTGGAATTGACGCTTGAAAGATATATTATGTCTAAGCAATATGTCTGGATTATGTGTGCTCAGCTGAGCCTCAGACATGATATCGCTTTGCAAAAAGTGCTGCACTCATGAAACACGTGCCCCCCGGATGTGGAAACGCCTTGCTGAGATGGGGGGCAAATCGATCAAGTAGCATACAGGGAGAGGGGATGATGGTCAAGGACCTTAAACATAATAGTTGACTAGTTGGGGCCTTGGAGACATTTCATGTGACCTCGTCGGTTGTCTAGTCTGGTAGAGTTGGGGTGAGGAGGGTCAGGAATGCCCCTGTCAAGGGAAATGTGATACCCCAAAAAGGTTGTGAATGGTAAGAGGCTGTGTAATGAGTCATGCTGGCTTTTATGAGGAGACCAGGGCCCCCGCGTCCGCCTCTTGGGGCAGGGCTGGAGGGCCATCCTGATGAGGCCTGGCCTGCACGGTCACGACAAGTTCCTGGCTCACTTCCTGCGCAGTGCTGCTGACTAGACAGGGCTGTGCGACCCTCCAGAGGCAGTATTTCCACTTTAGTTGGGTTTCCTATTCAGAGGGAAGAACCAGCATGGAAAAACAAGCGCGCCTTTTCTTAACTTCCCTCCTCACATCCCCTCTCCGCACACGCAGTATAAAAGTAGAGTGGGTGCTTCCCTTGGGGCCAGCTAGGTTCACCTGTGCCTTCATTAGTTTGGTTTTGCTTCTATCGGGTCACTCCAGAGGCTCTATGGTCACATGAGTTGAGGCCCTGGGAGGCTTGTGCTCTTGGAACCAGCCAGCGGGGCAGCAGGAATTGCACCCGAAGTTCCGGATATAAACTTGAGTCTGGGGGGCTTGTTTCTCCCCTGCAGAGGAGGGGTACAGGCATCTGATACACTAGAAGCGCCCTCCCCTGTTCTGTCGAGACAGTAGGTTCCAAAGAACTTCACTTGGGGAAGAGGAGAGACCCAAAAGGGGGGCCTGGAGCCTGCACTTTGTTTTCCTTGAGGAAGAGGGTACATGAGGCCACCGCCAGTGGTCTGGTCCATGGTGTGGACTTGCGGTTTCCCTGAGAGACTTCAGCAGCGGCTCGGGAAAGGGAGGACAGGATGGGGACCTCGCCCTGAAGCTCCTCTGTGCCAGGCTGAGCCCTGTGCCAGGTGGGTTTGCCTGTGCCATCTCGGTGCCTTACTCATGACAGCCTGCCACTCTGGACTGTGTCCAGCTGTGTGCAGTTCATACCGGAGACAGAAAGGGCAAGTATTACCCGCTCGCGAGGCAGAGCCAGGCTCCAACCCCGGTCTGACCCCCAGGCCCATAGCCTTCCCCGTGGAGAGCGTGGCCAGGGGCTTGGCCAGAGATTGAGTGGCTTCCACTCCCAGACACGGCGGCGGCGGCCTTTCCTCCCTGCGAGGTGGCTCGGGGTCCCCCCACTCCCCACAACCTGCACGTTTTGCTGCCTGCGCAGCAGCAGCTTCTACTCGACCGTGGAGCGCTGCTCACCTGGACGCCCGGTCCCCTGGAGCCGGCCAGGGCAACAGGCCTAATGTACTGCCCTTTCTCTCCCCACAGATGGATCTGTCTGTCGAAACTCTCTTTAGCTTCATGCAGGAGCGGCAGAAGAGATACGCCAAGTACGCCGAGCAGATCCAGAAAGTCAACGAAATGTCGGCCATCCTCCGCCGCATCCAGATGGGCATCGACCAGACCGTGCCCCTGATGGAGCGGCTCAACAGCCTGCTGCCCGAGGGCGAGAGGCTGGAGCCCTTCAGCATGAAGCCAGACCGCGAGCTCAAGCTCTAGAGCACGAGGCCTCTCCTGCCCGGCCGCTGCTCCCTGGGACAGAGCCGGCACCGCTGGGACTCTGGGGACATGGGAGCCAGGTGGTGTGACAGGGCCGGGGCTGCTGGTCGGGGTCTCGGCACCCCCAGAGGAGGGTGAAGCAGTGGGGCTGGTCTGAGAGGCAGACTGTGCCCCACCCCCTCCCCGATGCATTGGCCGGTGCAGCAGGAACTGAACTGAGTCTGTGATAGCTGAGGTCGAAACGTCTAAATTATTAGGATTTCGACACAGAACTCTGCCTTGGGGGTTATTTTTACTTTAAGTTTTTTGTTTCTTTTAATTGAAAGTGTACATTGTCTAGCCCAGCTTGTGGAGTGAGAAGTGGCAAGAAGGGGAGAGCAGCTGGGAAGCCCTCGGGGCGAGGGTGGTCAGCAAAGGGCGGGTGCAGCCTGGCCGTGAGGGTACTCTGCCCCCCGTTGGCTTCCCATGAGGGCCTCTGGCCACCCTCTTCCTGCCCAGGGAAAGTGCAGGTACTTGTGTGGTGTGCGGGCCATGGTGCCCCAGATGTCGTCTGGGGACTCCGAAGGTGCTGTCTACAGCCTGCCCGGTTTACCTCCCGCCGACAGTTGGTTTTGTTGGGGCAGACATAGTTGAGTGTCTTTATATCACTCCCTGTGGGCTTCCAGCTCTGGGAACAAGGGGTTAACTAGCAGCTGTGTGACTCATCTGGTAAACTGGGGGTGCTCGAGGGCTTGCAGGGTTCTGAGGGAGGAACCTCTTACTCTAAAGTTCAGGCTGACTGGGCCCAGACCCTCTGGTGCCTCTAGTGCCATGGAAAGTGCCAGAGGTGCAGGCTGGTGCCACAGGCAGCCCTGCTGGCTCCAGCCGGGAATACGCGGGCGCCCTCGGCAGCTTTCTGGAGGAGGCTCCAGTCTGGAGGTAGCGGTGGGACATGAGGGCCGAGGGCTAGCGGAAGGGGAGCCTCTCCCAGCCCACCTGGCTCCCCAGATTCCCTCTGGCTTAGCGCCGGGCTGCTGAAGGTGCGGAGGGCACGGGGTGCCCGCAGAAGGTGGCTCTAGATGTCGGGAGTAGCCTTCGGTGTCTTTGTAAGATTAAAATTGCTCCCACTGCATTGAGCAGACCTCAGGTAAATGTCATTCAGTTCTACTCTTGCATCGTAATCAGACGCCATGTCGCAGATTTTCAGAACCCAGAACAAAATCGAGGACATAAACAGCTGAATTAACAGAGGAAACATACATCAAGCTAATGAAAATGTTGTTTTAGTCCATAGTGAAAAATTAATGGCTTCAACTATAATAATGTAAAAATCAAAACCATGAGGCAACTATAGAGCAGAGACATTGTGTAGAGAGGAGGGAAGAGGATCCTGGCACGGCCGCAGGAGCATGGGACCGGTGTGACGGTGCTGGGGGAGCTGGTGGTGGGAGTTTCACGGGAAACCATACATTGTACAACAGTGAAGGATGATGCAATAAATAGATTAAAAATACCAACCGCTTCTGGGATTTTTCTGAGGACACAGAGTACCAACATCGTTCATTCCCTTTGAGCTCCAAAGAAGCAGCAGCCCTCAAAGGCCCTTCAGCGCCACGCCATCCCCTGGACCCGGCCCCTTGGGAAGGGCAGCAGAGGCTGAGGAGAAGGTCTGAGGGAGCCCTGGGGCTGGAAGCCAGGTGCTGGGCCTAGGGCGCTCGGCCTGCAGAACTCGCCGGGCCACACTGACTGACACGACAGTCGGTGTCACACCCTCTGATGGTCGATGTCAGTGGGGCCTTCACCCATTTCTGCAGGAAATCAGGAAAGATGTTCTGTGACTGAGAACTCTATTCTTAGCTGCGGTTATTCTAGCGAATGTCGTGGAAGGGGGGAGGAGTCAGCCACGCTCCCCGGAATGCGTCTTCCCCTCACTGTGCAGTGTCCCCCGAGCTGGGTATTGAGTCTCCACATCATCAGGGTTCTGGCTCCGGCCCGTGTCTAGTCCACACTCCCTCCACACTGTTTCATGCCATGCTTTGTCCTATGATTTTCTTTCCACCATTTCATAATGCCTTTTACTATCTGATATTTGTTAGACTAGGTTCCAGCTAGACTTATTTTTCCTAACTTCAGTCTGTTCCATTTCAGTGGGCAGAAAGAATATCCATCCTTCCTTGGCCTAACTTCACAGGAAGTGGCATTCTTAAGTATCACCTTTGTTCTTTTCACAAGTTCCTGGAATTCATAGAACCAGCTCTGGACACAGGGACAGGTTCATGACTTTCAAAGAATGAAGGGTTGGCTGGTTGTCCAGAGCTATAAAAATTGCTCGGGTGCCATTACCCTCACTGCACTGCATTTCAGCGGTTAATAGGCTGAAGGTGGCAGAAAGGCAGCTGGAGCCTGGCATGAAACGTGCTTGCTGGCCATTCTTCCTCCAGCTCCCCCTGCTTACGGAGCAGTTGGATAAACATGGCATTAACTTAGATGTGGGTCCCAAGCAGATGTGCTAGTCACTGCTGGGCAGAAGCAGAGAAGAATGCTAGGTAAACGACATCACTTGAAAGAATTCTAGTTCGTTTAATATTGATGGTGTGCGAGGGTTTTACAGTCTTGGCTAAACCGAACCAGAATCCCCCTCCCTGCTGGTTTCTGTTTAGGGTTGGCCACGAGACACGGGCATGAGCTTAGTTTGGGTAGCAGCCGAACGTTGCATCTCAGCGTATCTCTGACCTCCGCGGCACCCTGGGCCGGTCTGCAGCCTCTCCAGCCCCCCAGAGAGCTTTTCCTCCATCTTCTGCAGGTTGGGCCAGCGATGGGACCTGCTTATCCTTCAACTGTGGCTCCCGGTGAGCAGCAATGTGCATTCCAGCCTGTTGCTGGCACATTTCATTGTCCTGTGTACCCTCTTTCCCAGCCTCCCAGGGACTCAGGTGAAGGAGCAGTAGACTCTCGCCAGCTCATTTAATGAAGGGTTTAATGTAACTTCCCTTCAAAGACACCTTATTCTGCATCACCCCTGGTGGCTCTTCTCTGACTGAAACCTTACGATCACTCATTTTGCTTTTACTTTTTCCAGTGAATTCTGAGAATCTGATCTGCTATTGTGAGAAACAGCGATGACGAATTTCTGAGGGTTAAATCCCTATCACTGCACAGGCCACTACAGGATGTTTCAGGGGTGAGAAAGCAACCCAAGTGTCAGAGTGTGGCTAGGAGTTTCCTGCCTTAATCTTTGCCAAGTTCATTTGATTTCCTGGTGCCTGTCTGTACCCCCTCTCCAGTCTGAGCTGGTCTGGATGGGCTCTCAGGCCTCTCTGAGCTCAGCGGACCCTTCAGCTAAGCTGAGCATCTTCACCAGCTGCCTGAGCACTGGCCCTGCATCTCCAGAGTGACTAAATTCAAGTTATTCTGTCTAGTGGTCCCCTTTCAAAATCCTGTGTGTGTGAGATCATCGCTAACTCCGGACACTATCAAAGAGGCCTTGCTTCACTAGTGGAAGGGCAGTTTGGTAGAAGCTGGCCTTCAGCCCTTCCGTTAGGTGCCTGTAAACCTGCAGTACATGAATTGCGAGTTAAAGAAGTGATGGTGTAGAGTTTATGTCTGTTATTTAACAAATACCATGTATGTTTCCCTCAGTTTTAGGAGTTTATAGCTATACACTTATGTGTACCTGTTCTCCTGAGGTAATTTTCTTAGAATATGAAGTGTATTTTGAACATAGATTATCTCGCCAGTGTTCTCTGCAGATTAGTTTTGAGGACTTAATACCCACAAGTATAGGAATGCACTCAAGAAATGAGTTATTTTTATGGTAGTCTCTGGGTATTCCTTTGCTTTTTCCTCCACCAGAGGTTAGAAATCTTTCCCTTACCTTTTAGGTCCTACAGACATGCTGTTCTCTGGGTTACATAAACCAAGGGGGCTGGGGGGCTGACCTGTGCCATGGTTCTTCATGTTGATTTATAGAACTAACTTAGCCTTGGCACCTCCCTAGCAAAACTAGGCATCTCTGGAACTGTAAGCACACATGTATAAAACTACAGCGATTCAAAATTTTGACTGCTGGATTTGTTTATACCTCAGCTAAACCTGGATATGTAATACTCAGTAGGAAATTACTGAAAATGTTGATACTAAAGTTTAAAGGGCAGAGGGAATGTGTGTAAGTGTGTTACCTCAGGTGTAAAGTGTCTTGTAATTAATTGTGAAGTGCTTTTGTGTCTCTGTTCCTTTCCCTGACATCTCATTTCCCTATTGAAAGCGATACAGTGTTCTAAGGGATGTCGTGTTGTTTGCTATTTATAGTTAAAAACCCTCAATTTCTTGCATATGCCAAGCACACATCTTCCATTCCAATGTTGGGGCTACGAGGGGAACTGTAACTGCATCATTATCTATATACTTCACACCAAAAACAATAAAAAAATCAAACCTTTTTCAGCAGTGAAATCCAGTTGCTTCCTAGTGTGTGACCTGTGGCACGCAGTTGCCTGCGACCCTTACTCCAAGGACACTGAGGGCCAGAGGGCACCCATGGGAATTTATGGACATGTCAGTTAATTTTTTTGCCAATCAAGATGTGGTCCTCCTGCGGCTTAACTTACAAAGTTTTGTGGCCCAAGTGCTTTGAATTCAAAACTGTCATAACTGACCAGAGGGAACCAGACCACAGCTGAAGGACAGTCTCCTATGGCCAAGGCCTCTGGCCTACAAGGTCACGTCCTGCATCCCCCAGGGGACATTACTTCCAAGGACTAGTGTTTAGCCAGAACCAAAGGAGTGAAACGTTATCAGCCCAGTTTGATGTCTCTGGACATAAACTGCGACAACCTGACTGGCTTGTTAACGGTGCTGTAATTTTCCAGTTGGTTTTGCAATGCTTTGAAGATAGAACCGAGTATAATTATGCTGTACAAGGATGAATGGGCCCCACAGAGTGCCAGAAATAACCTACTTCCCTCTTCCATTTATAGATGCAGAGTAATATTCAGAGAAAAGCACAATCTTTGTTTACTACACTCAAAACATTCTTGCTCAGTGTCAGAAAAACAAGGTTTGGAGTTACAAGTTTTCATCAGCTGGCCGGGTAAGCATACCTTACCCCTCGCGTCATTTTTTTGACCTGAAGGCTAATATCATTCAGGGCCCGTTTAAATTTTCTCAAGTTCTCCTCAGAAAGCCACACCTCCCCCATTTCCCTTTAGTTTGCCTGTTCTGACTTTAAGCTCTCAGACCCAAACTCATCCTCTATCCCGCCTGCCCTGAACAGGCTGTCTCTTAAGAATTCCAAATCAGTTAGCATTTGAGTAGTCACTGGCTTGGCCTTACGTCTTTCCAAGCTCTACGTCTTCTGACCTGAAACCTCCTCCCTCCTGCCACCTTCCCGTGCCAGGCAGCTTTATTCTGCTCCCTTAGTCCTTTCCCACGCTCTCCTCCATTTATTGCCAGGTCCAGGACAGTTCTTGCTTTTCTATTTTCTCAAATCGAAACTCGGACGGCTTCACAGCCAACTTCCATGACATCCCCTGTGATTCTCTTTATCAATACTGTTCTGCGCGCCTGCACTGAATGGTAAAAGTTTTATTCCTTTAATGACTAATTCTTTAGTAGCAAACAGGTAAAACAGCTTCTTGTCTTGTAAGTCATCATGGCCAGTGTCATGTATAAGCAGAGGTCACGAGGCCAACGAAGACCACTCTTCAGTACAGCCGGCCCCTGACCCACGTAGGAAAGCGTCTCTGTACGTGCAGATTTTCTTGCAAACACATGATGAAAACTGATGGGATCAATAAACACGGTGCAGTCGAATGCATTTTCCTTGTGATTTTCTTCTTTTTTTCACTATCTTAAAAACACAATCTGTAATCCATATAATATATAAAACATGTGTTCACTGTTTATATTACCATGCAGGCTTCTACTAACCACAGGCTATTAATAAAGTTTGGGGGGAGTCAACTGACAGATTTTCAGCTGCACAGGGTGGGGTGGGGTGAAGCTGGTGCTCCAACCTCTGAATTGTGCAAGGGCCAATTGTATTCCACCCAGTTTTTCCTACAAGAATGACCAAACCATTCACATCTTACATTCGAATGTACCACAAGTGGGATCTGTCTTCTTAACTGTGCTAGTTCTGGACTCAGCCATAAAATCTTTTCAAGTACCCCGGATTTGGACACTGTTTCAAGGCCAGCTCTGAACTGCCAGGTTATACGCCTGTCTCTCATGTGCACAACAGAGCATGAACAGCTCTGATGGCCGCACTGTTTTCTGTCCTCAGACTTAAGGCCACTCCTGCTTCCTTTTACAAAGTGGCTGCTGCTGCTCCAGCCAAGTTTATAGCTGCAAAGAGAAGTCCTTTTTCAGTTCTGTATAAACAGGCACCAGTTTTGAGTTTATTTCATAATATTATCATACAGGACACATCAAATGAGAAATGCACAATGTAAACATTCTACAGCTTGCCTTACGCCAAGAAAATGCTATTCATATTGAACATTTATATACACCACTTCATTTTGCAAATATCCGAAACCGATTTCTAGCATTCTTATACACACATCTGGCTTTGCTCCTTAAAAATCACCTTTCTGTGTCCCCTGAGGAGACTCCAGGGCTCCCCCACCCAATTACATGCCCAAGCCAGAAGGTCCAAGCTGTCCAGGCCTTACCTCTCACACTGCCCTTCCACACAGTGGTCTGGACTCCAAGAACTGAGACTGACTCACGGTTAAGGACTGAAGCTTGTAATGGATGGCAGTGAGTTACAGGCAGTGCGAGGCGCGGGCAGCGGCCACAGGAATCCGACTGATGGGAGGCGAATTTCCGCCCAGCGACCTCATACAAACCACACCCCTCCATTTTCCCCGCCCCAAACTTAACACTGGAGCCACTGCCTGACCCTCTAAACTGGCAGCTGAGCCTAGACTCGGAGTGGTGAGCTTTGATGCGCCTGTGTCTGTGACAGACTCCCTGAGAGCACATCTGATTAGACCTAAGATTTAAATGTAGACAGAAAAGCCCAGATCGTGGCATGAACGTTCTCAGGATGGCAGGAAGGCAGGAGGGCACTCCCTCTGCTGCTTGTTCCCCTTCTGCCTTGTTCTACATCACACACGCAGCGCGCGTCTCTAGTTCTGTGAAGCTCATCATGGCGCCTTGTCACTGTGCTGCCTTCAGCAGGCACCGCAGGAAGCCAATCCATCACATCCTGCTCAAAGGGCCACCCATGTCCCACTGGGAGAAAAACCCGAGGTGGGCATCGGCCACTGCGCCCGCCCCGCCCCAGGAAGAGCCGCAGGCAGGACCAAGTCGGGACACTTGAAAGCAGACGTGCTCCCCGTCCGCCCGAGCCAGGCCCTCCCTCCCAGCTACCAGGGTGGGCTCCGTGTAGTCATGCTAGGTGGGGCTCAGGGGCCACCTTAATCCTGCACCACTCACATACACCCCACCTCTGGGGTCGCAGGGAGAGCCGGGCTGCGGCTCGCGCCCTGCTTACAGAAACCAAAGCCCAACACCTTCCGCACTGCCTTACTCTGGACATTCCTGGTAAATCGGACATTCAAGAAGTCGCTAACAGTATCCGCACCAAGGGGCAGACACACCGCTGAAGTAACTGTTTCCTGCCTCTACTCAGCAATCTTACCTTGAACCTGGCCCTACTTTTTCCTCCCTCTTGGTGGTTTCTTATAAAATTCTACCTTGCGGTTACATTTTTACACAATGTACTTGCAATGAAACAGAAATGGAAAATTTCTACTTCTGCTAACCTGCACGTGAGGCGGCTATGCTACCAACCCAAATAAATTCACATCTAGCTTTAAACCAAGTTAATCTTTATTTAAAGGATTAATAATCCCATTTCGAACAATTGTTTGATTTATAAAGAGGGAGATAGACTTGTTTAGCGTCCCAACCTTAGCATACATACATCACTATGACCAGATGTCTGGCTGTTACATTGAATCCTAGATGGCTTCCCTTCTCTTTCTTCGTAGAGTTGAGAAAAAGAAGGAAAAAATTAACTACCTCCATCCAGGCCCAAGTGGGAATTTGTGCATAGACAGTCTGAATTGGTCTGAAAGTGTGGCTAGCTACCTACCTATTCACGACGCGTAGGAAATGGGCCCAGACATGGCAGTGGTGAGAGCCCCGACTTCTGTCTGAGGTACTGGGTTTGCTCTAAGCACATCTCGGCAAGGCCCCTAATGGCCGGTCCAGCAGAACGATGCTCGCGTCACCTGGCTGTCAGGTGACGTGGTGTGGATGTGGTCACTTCTCTTGGATCGCCATCAGGTTCTGTCCCTAAGAGGGTCTACCCACCCGACCCACAGGCTGGCTCAGACTCAGCACTAAGGTGCACTACGGCAGGGACTGGACAGAGAGAAGCAGTTGAGTGCTCTTTGAGCACGGCATGAAAACAGTAGGGGATTCCGGCCTGTGACACCCAATAAAACTTGATTTAGTGAGAACAAGAGGCTGTGCAATTCACTGCATTAAATCCATCTGTCGGAGAATCTGGCATCTGCCCCACTTCTGTAGGGAGGAACACTAGCTGATTTCTCGGATGCAGATGTGGAGAGAGAACCACTGTGTTGATCCATCTTTTGCTTTTACACCATAGCTCCATTTTCCAAAAATATATATGTACATATATATATTTCAGATTTACAGGGAATATTTTTCGTGAACAAGGAAAAAAATCCATAGAAGCCACAAGCACCTTCTCAGGAGACCTCGATGATTTCCATGCTGCCTGAAAAGCTGGACTGGCTGCCCACTTTCCCCAGGTCCTCCCGCGCCCTGCCCTCTGACATGATGCCCTCTCCAAACTCCATCTGGCAGCTCCGGCGTTTAAACTGCTTTTCAAACGGGCTCTCCTCGTGCCAGCTGCGCCGCGAGTCCGCCCTGTCACCTGGCTTCTGCCGCCTGCGCACAGAATAGACGGGGTCGCTGCCTGTGGGCAGCTGGCTGCAGCTGCAGGCCGAGTAGCTGGCGCTGCCGCCATAGATGGCCGAGGCGGAGTAGAAGTGAGACGACTCCGTGGCAAAGTACCAGCTGCTGGTCAGGGAAGGGGTGGAGGTCTGGGGAGCCAAGATATCTGAGTGCCAGCCCTTGAGGCCCAGCCCAGCGGCAGACTTCGCGAGGTGCTGCTGGCTGGTGGACAGGCCGAAGAGGAAGTTGGTGTGGTGAGTGTCCTCCACACTCCCGCTGCGGTGCAGGGGGGACAAGAGGGGCCTGGGGGGGGCCGCTCCGCCGGCGCTGGCTCTTACTGCATGCAGTCGCTTGCTCTGGCTGTCTGTGGGCCTGCTGCTAGGAGGCTTCTTGGGGACGTCGGCCTCCTCCTTATCTGGGCTGCTCTCCGGAGTCTGCTCGGACACTTCCTCCACGGGAGAGAACTGGCATAGCTTGCTGGTCCCGTCCAGCGTGGTGGAAGGTTTGTAGTATTCCAGAGCCTCTTCTGAGGAGGAAAAACCACGCAAGGACGCTGCCATACTGGCTGAGTATGAGACTGACTTGATGTCCAGCGAGAAGGAACGCTTGAGCTTACTGCTGTCTTCCAGCCTGTCTGAGGGCAGGTGGAGCCCGCTGAGCGCCTGGGCCAGGGAGCCGTCCTCCAGCAAGGCCGGCTGGGCGCTGGGCAGCACACCGGCAGGAGGCACCGGCCTTTGCCCTGCTGCCGCTGAGGTAGCAGAGTTGGCACAGGGCGGACTGAGGGGCGCCTCGCTTTTCTGGCTGCCCTCTGGGACCGCAGGGGCAGGCTCATTTGGCTTCTCCAGGTGCAGTCGCTTGAGTCTGCTTTTTGGCCCCGAGGCTCCAGTCTGGTTCTTAATCTTCTTCTCATAGTCCAGGAGTTGGCCCAGGAAATTGAAGTTTGGAGAGATAGTAGGTCTTTTTTCTTTCACAAATCTACAAAGAGGAAAAAATTTTGAATTTTACCACCATACTTTATCTTATAGATACTAAGTGACTCTCCCAAATGTCTTTGGGAGATGAAGGGCTTAAAAGTTGAAATAAAAAGGGCTGAAGAATAAAAGGCCCTCTACACTGAGGAGCTAGAGAACACATCTCCAGAATATGCTAGAAAGATGAGGCCAGGCCCCCAAAGGCCCTGGCTTTCGGCTCCTTGTGTCTGAGCCCCCAAAGGTCCTGGCTTTTGGCTCCTTATTTCTGAGCACCTGAGGCCTTCCCTCTGGCAGGGACACTGCACACCAGGGCCAGCGTCAACATGCAGCATGACCAACTGCTCCAGCTCTGACGTCTCCACCTTGTGTTTCTCAAAGTTCCCAGACTTGCTTTCTCAAGACAGCTCACACCTTTTAGTGACTGAAGAAAAGGGTTTCAGATGGCTAGAGCATCAAAGCCCTTCCTTCTGCCTGTCTTAAACAGAATAACCGGCTACAGAGTATCTCTGTGTATCACCTGCTCAATCCTCAAAACTACCCTACATCAGGAGGTGCAATTATCCTCATCATATAGAGACCAAATCACATTATTACTTGCTGATTCAAAACCAGTCTGGATCTTTTTTGTAACCACCATATCGAAGATGTGCCAGGAGGTAGAAAAGAGTCATAGGTAACTTTTATGTCTCATTAGAGGAAAAACTCTTAGAGATAGTAAGTAAATTCTTCAGTGCACCCCGACCCTCATGGACGTTCCTCACTAGATGCAGGAGAAATAATAATGAAAACATGTTAGCTGAGTAAGAAGAATCAAGTCTCCTTGGAAATCAAGTCATCTAAAGCAAATTAATAGCCAACAGTAACTGGCTCAGGTCTACCGAGAGTAATTAGGGTCCACATAGTAATACTTTAATATGGCGCACTGGGGATGGTTCTTCTGGTCTGCTCCCAGGGCAGGAGGACCTTAAGGGAAGAGGCCTATGTGGAGATAGGGAAGCTACTTCAGACAGATGCAGGCCCCACTGGAGGGCAAGAAGCTGTTTAGTGGCTAGTTTCCAACTTGAGGGGGAAAGTTCAATGGTTACAACTGATCTGTTCCACTGTCTAATTTATTGTTCCTTTGTCACATAGAAATGACCACATCTACCCTACAAGACAGAGAATTTGGCATGGAAACCCCGTGTGTGTGGCTAGTTACTGTTACCTGCCTACCTTCCATTTTGAGAGAGGGGAACAGGACAACTCAGTAAAAATCTGGGTAACTCTAGAATTTTTACTTATGGCATGGAGTCTAACAACTATTTTTATGTTTGAAAGTATTAGACTTTTTCCTCACCATCATAGACCCCAACCTGGAGGCAAAGTAAGAGATTCTATTAGGACTGTTCTACTCTTGTCCTTTTTCTTGTCTCTACCTTCAAACAAAGCACAATATCTATAACAGGATAGTGCTACCTCTGCGTTGAGTTGTTTAGTAAAACTTAAGACAGCAGCTGAGAGTGAATTTAACACAGCTTAGGGCTGTGTGGAGGTAGGGAAGCTACTTCAGACAGATGCAGGCCTGGCCAGAGGGCAAGAAGCTGTTCAGTGGCTAGTTTCCAACTTGAGGGGCAAAGTCCAATGGTTACAACTGTTCCAAAGCCAAAAATGCATTCTTCCATCTTTGAAATACCACTGAAAAATCCAAAGTCACCTGTGAAGAGTGGGAGTAAAACAGTCAAGGTTGATTTTAACTTGGTGACCTGCCTCCTCGCTAAGGTTCAGGTCAAGTGAAAAGCCAGTCAAGGACACACTCCTGTCCTCACCTGTAAGCTTCATCGAGGGACATATCCATCCTCTTCATGATGTAGGCAATGGCGATGGTGGCTGAGCGAGAGATCCCGGCCAAACAGTGCACAAGGACACAGCCGTTGGAGGCTTTTGCTTTCTCTGTGAGTCAAAATTCAAGAAGGGTCACAGCAGTGAGGACTTGTTTCCATTTACTGCCTTGGGGTGTCTACCATCTAGAAATTCAAAGTGGATCTCACCTGTTTACAGGTTTATCCTTTCAAATGCTTTCCAGGAGGTAGGGGAAGGTGATTTCCCCAGCACTTACACAGAAGGCAGTGAAGGGCCAAATGTGTCAATAAGCACTTTGTCCCTAACACAGGCTCCTGGCTGTAATGCAGTACTTTACACTGTGCTCTTTTTACATTGCTATTTTAGTGACTTTCCCAGAGCATAAATCCTACATTGTGATTGCATGATTCCACTTGTTTAGTGCAGAAAACTTCAGAAATACAGAAAAGAACAAGGAAATGAACATCCAAAATTCCAGCCCATAAGGTATCACTAATATTTTGTTTTCTGACACAAATTACATATGACATCTTAAAATTTGTTAAATATATTTTCATTGCAAACATATACAATGTTACTATTTTTAAAGGGAGGGAGGGACAAGGCAGAGACTTAATCAAAATGCTACTACATCACAAGACAAAAAGATGCTACCTCAAACTATTTTTAAAGGAATGGAACTCTGAGAGCTACCTTCCTATAATTTCACTATTTTTCTTCAGGAGACTTTTTGGCCCAATTTTATTTGCTGAACTTAAGGTCACTTTTATAAGGACCAAAGAAACTTTCATCCCTTCCTTGACTGCCTCATTGCATCATGTTAATCCACCTCAACATGGTAGAAGGGATTCTGGGAGGGCTGTCTGAACAAAGAACTAAGGAACATTCTATTCATGCACCATGTCTCATTGCTGAAGAACATTTGACCCTTCAGGTGGGAGTGGATAAATGATCACACAACCATTTAAACAGAGTTCATTCGAAACAATGGCAGGTACTCTGTTCACCCAATTATAGGTTGCTCACAACCAACGATGACAGGTGGAGCTCAAGTCTCCCCTTTTGTCCTTGTTCTGGTTGATACCAAAAATTCTAATTCTTGGAATTAACAGAGATCCAAGGAATCTGCTTGTAGCACCTGAATGACACAAGGCTACTGTAATATCACTGTGTTCTACGTTATAATGTTACAAAGCTCTAACATAGGACTAGCTATTCATTACGTAGAAAATGTAACAGTACATGAATGTTGGGTAAATGAAGATTGGTCAGGCTTTTGACCGCTGGCCTGTGTGACTGTCACCTGTGGACCTGTTTGTGCTCATACAGGAAGCTCTTGGTGCATGGGCTCAGGGTACACACGCCTGAGGGGTACACTAGAGTGTGGTGTGGGTATGTGTAAGTGGGTATGCGTGAGTCGGAAGGCTGAGCATACAGGGGCAGTGTCACTCAGAGAGCACTACACTGGAGAACAGCTATGAGAAGACAAGTGACCACAAGAGGCAGGACTGTGAGATGACACCAGAGAGCCCAAAGAGAAAGTGCTTGCTGGCACTGCAATGAACCATCAATCACTTTCTCTCAAAAGGCCAAATACAGGATGTGCAGTGTGTACCACAAACATACTGGCAGGCTGAACATTTAAAAAGCAACTTTATTTAAAAACGTTAAAGGATTCGAAGGGGAAAAGAGCCACCAGAACAATTCAGGGAGAATATATGGCTGAACAAAAGGGAGCAAGGATAATACGAAATGGGTAAGAGAGCTAGGGAGGAGGAGGTGACATTTGTGGTGCTGAAAAAACAACCCCCAATTTTTAACACAGCTGTTGTGTAGGAAGAGCCAGTTATGGCAGGCACTTGGTGAGGGACTCCAACACACACTTCACCTCTTTTAATCCTCGCCATACCCTCAAAAAGGTAGACATGTCATCTTCAGTTCCATGTCAGGAAACTGAGAAATAGGACTTTCAACTCACCCCAAATCATTTAATAACCCACAGAGGCGTGACTCCTCAGTTTGGTCCCAAAGTACCTCCCTGCATGACCCAATTACAAAGTCAAGAGTTTGGGGTTGGGCCAGAGCCACAGAGACAGAGAAGAAGGAGAGGGCCCCGCAGAAGCAGCCAGCTAGGCCTGCGGTAGCTCACGAGTAGCTCAAAGCTACTAGTTCCCTTTGACACGGGGATACTATGACCGCCACCTGAAAGGTGAACTGACACTCAGAGAGGCTCCACAAGGTTTGCAAAGTGAAGAGCAGACTCTGGTACCCTGAAATGCGAATCACAACCAGCAGGAAGGCCCTGACCGTACAGGTTTGAGGACACACACACTGCACCCCCTGTGGCCACTATTCAGGCGGTGGGCTGAGTGCCCGGTGCCCAACAGGCCAGGAAGTCTCCAAAGGCAGTAACATTTCTGCTGAGGCCCACAGGACTGCTGTACTAACTTGCTCTTGCCATGCTTTCTATGAAAGGACGCGGAAGTGGCTGAGAGGACATCTTAAGTCCATGTCTCTCACAGTGGAACAGAGAGGGAACTACAGTCATGAGGAATGGGTCTGTGGCCCTTCTTGGTGGTGCAGGGGTTAAAGTCTCAGTGCTGTCAAGCTATCGCCAGCCACTGCAGCACGAGTTTGATTCCCGGGCAGGGAGGTGGCCCACCTGGGCCTCCCTGGTGGCACCCTATGGGTTAAGTCACAGCACTATGAAGCTATCTGCAGTCACTGCAGCACGAGTTGATCTCTGGCCAGGGAGGTGACCCACGTGGCGCAGCAGACCTCTCCTGTCTTGCCTGCTGCTCCATGCACTTGTGAGTCCTGGTATGAGGGGAACTTCATGTGACACTCAGTGACCAACGGTGGCTGAAACAGCCTGAGGAAGACAACTAGCCAATAGTGGACACCGGCTAGATGCCCAATGTGGGCTATAGTTCTGCCATGGGTAATTTGGGTGGGATAAGGAAGGTGAATCACCCTAAGTAATTACAGCCAAGCAAGGGAAATACTAATAAGCAAGTAAAAATATTTTCAGATAATACAAATGAGTTATAAAATGTGTTCGTGTGTATCTGATCAATGTGGAACGGGGTTAAGTTTTGTTTGTATGGGTGAAGTCTATAGGGTGACCCCAATATCTCCCCCTGAAAGAAGAAAATAAGAGACCATCCCTGGTAGCACAACAGGTTAAAGCACTGTAAATCTGTGAAGGTGGCCACAGCTGCTTTGGTGCAACCTCTGCCCTGGAGGTGACCCACAGGGTGCAGACCTTTCCTGTCTCACCTGCTGCTCCCCTCAGCAGCGTACTTCATCAATCTGCCTGTTCTGCTCCCCACTCTGTCTCTGGTGAATCTTCTCACTGCCCCTGCACCTCTGGCCTGCACCCCAGTTCTATATGCATAAATAAATAGATCTTAAAAAAAGGAAAGAGAGAAGAAAATAAGCTGTGGGCAATGTTACTCATATTCTCGGTTTTCTGCTAAAATCATGAAGCTCAGGCTTCACAGAAGCAGTTTGTCTTTTTGCACAGATCCTGAAATTGAAATTTTAGCTGAAATGAGAGCCAGTCCTCTGGATCAAAAGGACCAGCAATGGAAACATGAACCATGTTTAAAAAAAAACTAAGAAGTCTTTTAAAAACTGAATGATATGCTGAGTATTTTTCAGCAATGAAATTTGGGAAATTTGGTTTGCGATTATTTTAGCATCAATTATCTAAGCCCATAAAGCTGTTTGCTGAATTAAAGATCCTAATTAAAGATAGAAACTTCTGCCATTATGGATCCTTGAAAAAGGGGAATGTTTCCGCATTACCCCAAGCTCCCAAAACATAAGGTAGAAAACTCCTCTGACAGATGAAAGGCTATAATGAGGAGCTTAATTTTATGTATTTTCCATTTCAAAAGGAAGCAGCTTTTTTTTTTAAAGTTATAGTAACTTATTCAATCCATTTAATTATGAATTAGAACTTGTGTGATGAGGATTTAAAAAAAACAACAAAGCCTCCTCCCGTGGATGTCAAGAGTCACACCTTGTTATGTTCTCAAGTGCCAGCAATGGTTCTCTCTGTCCAGTCGCTCTCCCCGAAACCACATTTCAAACAGACGTCACCATGCACCAGCAGACCTGATCCTGTGGCCCCAAAGGGTCACCACAGCACCTGAAGCAAGGGTTGGGGAGCTCCAAACCTGATGGGTCCAGTGAGCAAAACCGTGTGCTAAAGGTCACACCTGGAGACAGCCACACTCAGAGGCGCATGGGGATTTTATTAGACCCCAAACTACTCAAACTGCTGGCCTGTGGGCTGAGGCTTACGTGTCCTGTGACATGCAGACTTTAAATGTCATGAGATTTGTTTTCACAGGATTTGCCTTTCTTTGGGTAAACAAGGCAGCAGCAAGGTAAAACACTGGTGAAAGCCACCCAAAGTTCCCCAGTCTTTTGTAGGATTTGAATGGGTAGATAAGGTGATTTAGTCCCCCAAGTTTAATTGATTCTCTAAACACTTGCAACACACAATCAGATCAGGCCAGCCCCTCACCAGATAAGCAGCACCTTCTGTTGTTTTCAGACTCATGAAATCTCAGAAACAGCTCCTTTTCTCTCAAGGCAAAAAACAAAAACAAAAACAAAAACAAAACAAGAAGGGAGGGTCTCCACAGGGCATAAGGCTGTTTCACACAAAGCGCCTATCTGTGACTCGAGCTACTTACCAATGAAATCTACCGATTTGTCCAGCCAAGGCAAAATTTTCTCACAAAAGCTGTCATTCACAGGTACCCGCAGGAAGTGAGACTCAGGGATGAAGTCAGGCTTTGGGCAGGTGTTGCTGGCATTTAACACGTAGCTGATCCCATTCTGCTGCATCAGCTCCTGCAGAGGGAGGGAATTAAAGTGACCGATAACACAGACACGGTCATCTTGAAGGAGCAAAGCTAGATGTCATGATAAGAGCTACTAGCTTCCTTGAAATAATGAGCATTAGCCAGTGAAATTCACAAACCTAGCTCAATAATGTGATAGACTTAAGTTTAAAGCAGGTTTTTTTTTTTAAGGCCAAAGGGAGCCATTTGAAATAGTGTGCTTATACACCTGAGAGGAGAAAACAGTGTACAAGAAATGAACAGTAATAAAAAGTATATGAAAATGAATTCCATAAAAATTTTTAAAAAAACAGTGTGCTTGAAGATGACACATCACCAAAACACATCAATTCTCTACTATCTTCATTTTGAGAGCAACGGAGATGGAGCAAAGAATACAAATTAAACCAAGTTTAATGTGACCTTGGATTATATGCACACTGAACACGTTGAGTCTTCTCAGCAAGCAAGTCCTAAGGCATTCTTCCCCCAAACAAAATCAATTTCCAGAGCTTTAAGTATAAGCCCTCCATACTGAGGAAACAAACATATATCGTCTCTTAAGTTTCCAGCCCCAATTTCCAGCTACCTATGGATTTCTCTATTTGGGTGTTCCATTAAGCCCTTCAAATTTAAAATATCAGAGACCCAGCACAACACCCTTCTTCCTTCTCTGCACCCCAACTCCCATTTCCTCTCTCTAATCCCAAAATTGGTTTATGATCGTAACATCCATGCAGATGCTGGAGGTAGAAAAATGGGATCACTGGACTCACCCTCCTTCCTCACGACCCCCCACCCACGTGTCTGCTAAACCCTGGTGGTGTCATTGCCCACTTCCCAGTCATGTCTCAGTCCTCACTGCCATGGCGAAAAAGCCGCCAGGAGCTCTCAGGGCTTGCAGCACTTCCCCCTTCAAAGCACACACTGGCCAGAGAGAAGAGTGAGCTGCTCTAATTAAACATGCACGAGTTCTTCACACTTTTAATCTCATTGTCTGCTCCAGTCCCATAAAACCAGCAAATCGCGCAACATCAGAGACACCCGTGCACCTGGCACAGACCTCTCCTGTCTCACCCGTTGCTTCCCTCAGCAGTGTATTTCAGTAGATCTGCCGTTGCTCCCCTCAGCAGTGTATTTCAGTAGATCTGTTCTGCAACCCATTCCATCTCTGGTGAATCCTCTCACCCCCACCCCTCTGAATGACACCTACACTTCTTCTATGCAAAAGTAAATAAATCTTTTTAAAAAGAAATTAACCAGCTCTATTCCCTCTACCTCTGATTTATTGATCATTCCTTCCTCGGTCCTCCCACAGTACTTTGCTCTCCCTATTGCTAAAGCACCAACAGAGTGTTATTATTAGCAGGTTATTCTCGCCTCTTCTCCCAGGAGCAAAGTAGTGAGGTATTGGGCTGTCTTGCTTGTTTTTCTTTCTTCAGCACCTGGACCACACTTGCACCCAACATGTGTCTGTTCACCTGACACCCTCTGCCGTTTCCCAGGCCAGCTCATATAACTTGCTTCCTAGAGGCATCCACATCTCCTCTCAGGAAATGTTCTAAGCCTGGCACAATTCTGTTTTAAGCAACTCTGGCCACTTCCTTTGCTTGGAATGCTAGCTCCTCTGCAAACGTTTCCCAATTAACCTGAAAGACGGTTGGTAATTGTCTCCCTATTTTATCCTACTAAAGTATGCAATTATTCCCTAATCCCTTCATTTACCACATCTGGCATAAAAAATACATTTTACTTTACATAAAAAGTCAGCTTAAGAAATCCAGCTCATGGGAGCAAGCCTCTCTCGACTGTGAGATGGTGATGTCAAGAATCCAATATGGGCACAAGGCACTTTTGGGGGCCAGGCCCAAGGCCAGCCTGAGCTGGTCCCATACGCTCCAACTGGCTTACAAAGCAGGCTGTGAAGATCTTACTGCTGTTAGCTGCAACTTTTAAACTCTGGTGCATGTAGCAAAGGTCACATCTGTCCCTCTACCCGACAGTAGCAGCGGGTCGCGGTCGCTTAAGGGGCCCTTTTATATTTATATTGCACAAACAATCCTACACAGATTGATTAAATTAAAAGGAAATGGAATAGTAGCACTGCTTCCCACCCTGCTGAGCAGGGAGCCAGAGAGGTTTCTGAGGACAGGGGCTGACGCAGCGCTGGGGCAGCTAAGGCCCCACCGGGAGGCCGTGGGACTCTCGTGCCAGTCCAGACCCGTCATGCTGCCGTGGTGACTCAAATGTGGGTTCCCCCAGAAAGAATGTAACAACATGCCCTCTGACAATCAGCCCAATAACCACATTTGTAGAAAGGGCCACAAAACCGAAATCCAATACAAAAATAGTTGGTGTGCATCTTCACCAGAGTCCCGGCATTATCTAATACGGCCGTGGCACATGGCGCCTATGAATAAAACGGTAACCGACGCTTAGTGGATGCCCTTCTGTGCGAGGCACTAGGCATGTAAATGGACTGTCTCGTTTAATTCTCACCACACCCTTTGACACGGGGA